TTGCAGTCCAGCTGCCCTGACCAGGCTGTCTCCCTTCTGCTTCTGCTTCCACAGAGCTGCACACACTGTGGCAGAATGAGGAGAGGGCTGCCATGTCCTCTGGCAAGATCTACGACATCTGGCACCGCCGACACGACTACTGGCTGTTGGCAGGAATTGTCACGTACCCTTTGACCTGGCAGAGCAGGAGGCAGTGAGGCGAGAGAGGCCTCTGGGGGTGTGGGAGCTGGGCTGGCACTGCAGTGATGAGCAGGGAGAGGGTTTAGGGCCACGGTGTTGCTGTGGGGTGGTGGGCAGGCTGTTGGCTGGCTGATTCTGCCCTTGACACTTGCCCCACACCAGTCATGGCTATGCCCGCTGGCAGGACATCCAGAATGACCCACGCTACGTGATCCTGAACGAGCCCTTCAAGTCAGAGATACACAAGGGGAATTACCTCGAGATGAAGAACAAGTTCCTTGCCCGGCGGTTTAAGGCGAGTGGCAGGTCCAGGGCTGGTGAGTCCTTGCTGGTGGGAGGACCAGAGCAGCACCCTGAAGCCTGGGGGGAGGTTGCCAGCATCTTCTGTGAGCAAAGTGGGGAGTGGACTTTGCGAGGGGCACTGTGATTTACTGGTTTATAGTGGGGTGGGGTTTGGTCCTGAATCCTTCCCCTCCTGCACCTCCCAGTTGTTGGAGCAGGCCCTGGTGATCGAGGAGCAGCTGCGGAGGGCAGCGTATCTCAACATGACCCAAGACCCGAGTCACCCGGCCATGGCACTGAACGCACGGCTGGCAGAAGTGGAGTGCCTTGCCGAGAGCCACCAGCACCTCTCCAAAGAGTCCCTGGCTGGGAACAAGCCTGCCAACGCTGTCCTGCACAAGGGTGCGTGCCTGCAGGGCTGGGGGAGTCTGCTCTGAGGCTAGGAAGGGTTCCCCACCCTCACCTGGGGAGCCAAGCAAGGAGGTGTCCCCATCTTGTTCTCTCAGCCAGGAGCTGCTGGCTCCTCTCAGCTTGCTGGCTCTTGCAGGCATCCCCCCCATGGACTTCCTGATTTACTTGCAGTGCTGAACCAGCTCGAGGAGCTGCTGAGTGACATGAAGGCTGATGTGACACGCTTGCCCTCTATGCTGTCCCGCATCCCGCCCGTGGCTGCCCGGCTGCAGATGTCAGAGCGGAGCATCCTCAGCCGCCTGGCCACCCGTGGAGGGGATCCAGCTGCCCAGGTCTGTGGGGACGGGCACAGAGCCCTCTCTGTGAGGGTCACGGTCAGGTCAGGGCTACAGGCCCGTGTCTTTTCTCCCTCCATGTCTCCCCAGGGCTCCTTTGGCTCAGCCCAGATCTTCAACAACAACTTTGGGCCAAATTTCCGTGGTCCTGGGCCGGGTGGGATTGTCAACTACAGCCAGATGCCTCTGGGACCCTATGTAACTGGTAGGTTGGGGTTTTGCTCTTGGGCAGAGAAATTCAGAGGGTGGATTTGGGCGTTCCAGGAGTGCTGCCAAAGGACAGTAGTGAGCAAGGTGTTTCCTCTGTCACCACAGATATTTAGCAGTTCCCATGATTTTCCCCTGCAGCTCCCACTCCTAACCGAGGTAAGGTTGCGCTTCCCACTCTCTGTGCTCTGTTTGCTGCGGAACATGAAGGGGTGGGGGGCTCAATGGAGACTGAGTTTTGAGCTGCCCCCCCAGTGCCAGTATCTGGCGGTGGCCTGACTCAAGCAGCTGCAGTAGAGGTGGGAGCAGATCCTTTCTGCAGCCTCTCCCAGGTGGGGTTGGCATGTGGGGAGGGTCCAGATTTGGCTGGTGGGCAGCCCTTCCCCTCTTCTCGCAGCAGCCCTGGGGGACAGTCCCCTGTCCCTGGCCATGAGCCGCTGTTGCCAGAGGTCGGCAGGGAAATTGTGCCAGCGTTGCCTGCGTGGAGGACGAGCTGCCGCCGGTGCTGCCGCGCTGTCCCGCTCCTGCTTCAAGTGTGCTTTGCCTGCTGCGGCCCCCGTGGGAGCGGCGGGGCTGGGGGTTTGTGTCCGTGTACATTTTTTGCACTTTCTTATTGAAGACTTGAAGAGTTTGTCTGGGCAAGGTGGGCTGAGGGGAGGGAGGGAGGGCTGGAGTTGCGGTGTTTGTCTGGTTTTGTTGGCAGGTGTGGGGGTGAGTGGAGGCCAGTGGTGCCATGTCCCAGCCGGCTGTGCTCCCCAGCTTCCCCCTAAGGGCCGTCTCTTTGTCCTCATGGTGTTTGAGCAAGCCCACGCCTGCTGCTGCCCTGCTGGAATCCCTGGCACTGCTGTGGTGTGGCTGGAGTTCCACATGTGCCGGGCTTGGGGCAGGCAGATGGAGGGGATGTGGGTGGGACAGAGGGGACAGCTGGAACTGGGATGGGGATACCTCGAGCGTGGTGACACCGGCAGCCGTAAGCAACGCCCCTGCATCCGCTTCGTGCTCTGTGTGTCCCGGTTTCTGTTCTGTGTTTTAATAAATCCTTTGGGAAGGATGTAGTGGAGTCTGGCAGGGGAAGGGATGGTGGTGCAGCCTTGGGGGGGGGCCTGGCCATGGTCTTGGTACCCCTGATGTCCTGCACATGTCTCCACACACACACATGTCCACAGACACAGACAGATGTCTACACACACATGCATGTACACAATGTGTGCACGTGGAGACACAGGAACATGCATACATGGACACTGACAGACCTGAGAATGTTGTGTGTATCTGCACAGATACTGTAACCTCTGCATGAATGCACATATATGTCTACATCACCCTCACACATGTGCCTCTTCATATACAGCATGTGTTGATCTGTGTACACACACGCAGATATGCACAGAACTGTAAGTTTTAGATCTGTGTGTGCATATATATCTTTATGTAAGCATACAGAGCTAGAAATACTGATTTATTTGGGTACTGCTATGTGGGTGTATCTGTACATACACACCTGTATATTATACATGTCTATATAATGTATTTGTGGTTTTAATGCATGTGTATTTGTGTACATACAGACTTGTGAGTGTGTGTAGCCACAGGTATGGGTAGATAATGGATATATGTACATAGATCTATACATGGTATGGATGCATAGATCTATATTTAGATGTATATATACACATACATATACATCTGTATGTAAGAATACACATAAATGTGTGTTTTTGAGTATATGCACATGCATACACATACATGTGTAGATGTATCTATATATCTACACATCTCCATATCTATATCTCTGTATGGCTATATAGGTGTGTTGATCTTTGTGTATGGCTATACAGGTGTGTGTATGTGTACACAGACACATGTATTTGTAATTTTGATATATTTATACATAAGTGCAGGTAAATCCATGTACCTAAAGGTGTAGGTGTGTGGCTGTAGGAGGTATTCACACTGACTCTCAACCATATAGAGAGGGGAGCTCTGATGTCATGAGTGGGGTCAAGAGAGACCCCCTGTGTTTGTACACACACACACATTTATAGTGGGCTGTAGGTGCAGCCATGGCTACACAGCAGATAAACACATACATTGTGCACAGAGCTCTCATTGTGCAGAGCTCAATGCACACATCTCACACACACTCCAGAGCTCACACACACTGTACAAAGCTCATACACGTGCCCAGAGTGCACAGTTTACGCACAGACAGTGCACAGAGCTCACACACACCACACAGAGCTGAGGGTTTGCACATATATTTACAATTTTTATATTTATGTGTGCAGAGATAGAGGAAACTGTATAAATGTATGTGGATATGGATACATATATATATAGGTATTGGCAAAATGTTTGTTCTGCACAGAGTACACAGAGAGCTATAAAGAGATACGTGTAGCTATAGTTATATTGTTCGCTCTATAGCTTTTCTATCATCTATCTCTCTGTATCTATCATATATGTATCCATATATATATATAGCTATAGCTAGACATACAGCTATATGTATGTAGCTATAGCTATATCTAGATTACAAATATCTGTGCCCATGTGTATATATGGCATATGTTTATAGATGTATAGAGACATGAGTGTATAGTTGAAGAGCTCGGTAGGGATATAGAGATATCTACACCGATATCTGTATATACACATCTATCTGCATATACACACATTTAAGTACATACCAGTAATTTTCATGTGTGCATATATCCATACAAACATGGGTGCTGCTCTAGCAATATATTTATATGGATATGCACGCATGTATACATTACATATATTGATCAATACATGGAACCATGTATGTCTATATATGCAAGCACATGTGTCTACATGTGTGTGCATATACATTATATATGTAATTTTCAGAGGTGTGTGTACACATCTACATACAGGTATCTGTATATGTAAATAGGTATCGATCTCTCAGAGGCTGATATCAGGGAGAGAGGTGGAGGTAGGGCTACATCTGTATCTACACCTGTCCGTGTGTGACTGTGTGTGTGTCTGTAGACACTCCTGTAATGGGAGTGTGTGGGTGCATGTGTAGAGGCTTTCAGTAGCTTTGTGCAGATACAGCCGAAGGCGTGTGTGGGCTGTGTTCACCTCCACAGCTGCTGTTTGCAAATCCACACGTCTGGACGTCCCCGCATGTCTGCACGTCCCTGCGTCTCCGCGTGTCCGTGCCCACACGCACTCCCCCGGCCCGGCCCCTCCCGCAGCAGAGCCCTGCCCCGTGCTCGGCCGGAGCACCCCAGGCTCTTCCCGTAGAGATCTCCCTCCCTGCCGGCATCCCACGCACCCCTTCCCCAGGATCAGGCGCTCCGTCCCGCGGTGCCGGCGGCGCAGGGCAGAGGCGAGGCCGGGGCGTAGGCTGGGGAACAGCTTCGTGTTGTCGGCCTCGTGGGCGTACAGCACCCGCGTGCCCCCCGCGCCCGCCGCCTCCGCCAACGCGGAGGCAGAGGAGCCACGCATGCAACGGGTCCCCGCGGCGGCTCCGGCTGCGGGCAGGCCGGCCGGGCAGCTCGGGGCTCGCCTCCCGCCGGCCGTCCCTGCGCCGCAGAGCCGGGCCGGGCGGCCGCGGCGCCATGTCCGGGGCAGCGCGGGCGGGAGCGCTGGCTCTCGGCGCTCGCGGTGCAAACCACACTCTCCACTTTGCTCCAACAAAGCGTAAGCAAGCGAACGGGCGGCGAGGGCTGCGCGGCGGGCGGCGTGCTCGGGCGCGCTTAGGATCTGTAGTCCTTCTTGCTGTATGGTTTGTTGCCCAGGATGCTATCGATCTCGTGGACGATGGAAGACGACAGCTTTGGAAGGACCTGCGGGGGATGGGGACAATGCTGGGAGTTGGGATTGTGACCCCGGTGTGCGTGGCAGGATGCTCTCCGCCTCCACCCCACCACGTTCGTGCCACAAGCCCCAGCTTGCTGGCTGGGTGACCCACTTAGGCAGAGCCTGAGTCAGGCCTGACCCTGCCCCCTCAGCCCAGCAAAGCCTTGTCTCTGCTTCTCGCCTTCACGACAAGCAAAACCTGTTATGGAGCTGGGTTTGCAACCCTCTTTTCCCGCACAGTGCAGCAGAGCAGTGAGTGCTGTGGGCAAATGTTGCTCTTGGGAGCACTGACCTGTATTGCTCCAATATTCTCCATCAGCTGGTCGGCATTGGAGGCCCCCAGTAAGACGGAGCTGACACCCTCATTGCGCAGGCACCAGGCTGGGACAGGAGGGAGAGCAGAGCTTGAGCAAAGCCCAGATAACCCTGTTTTCACCCCCAGCTGTCCCACACTGTCCCCCATCTTCTTACCGATGGCAAGCTGGGGCAGGGTGCAGCCCAGGCGCTCAGCGATGGCCTGCAGCTCCTTCAGCTTTGCCTGCTGCCGCCGGCCCTCTTCACTCAGGATCTTGTCCTTCAGCCACTGGTATCCCTGGGGAATTGGAAGGGGTGTTGTGGTGGGATCAGGGTGCACCAGCACCTTTCACAGGCAGGGCATCCCCAAACTCCCTGGGTTGTGGCTCCTGGAGTTCCTTATCCTGTAGGGACTTCACAAGGCCCCCAGCCCTACTCCCCCAGCTCTGTCCATCCCCGTGTGCCCTCCCAGCCCTGGTGCAGCTCACCTTCAGCGAGGCACGGGAGTAGGGGGGGATGCCCCCATCGTACTTCCCCGAGACAATGCCACAGGCCAGTGGGGACCAGGTCATGGCTCCAACACCTGGGGACAGAGCAGAATGGGGGATGACACTGCTGCTCCCAGCTCCCTCAGGGGCCTTGGCACCTGGCCTCAGCAGCACTGGGCTTGGGGAGCACTGTGCTTTGGGGGGCTGGGGAGAAATCCCCACTGTCATACCTATCTTGTGGAAGAGCTCAGGGAGCTGCACCTCCACCTTTTCCCGCTGGAACATGTGATACTCAGCCTGCTCACAGATCGGCGGAATCAGGTTGAACTGCCGGGCCACCGAGTACGCCTCCTGCAGAAGAGGAGCCAGGACCCTCAGCGCCCTGCCGCTCCCCCCGAGCCCCCTGCTGAACCCCCCAGCCAAGTCCTGAGTGGCCGCCCCAAAAAATAATTAAGGCTTAAGTGCATCTGCACACGCTTGGCTCCCAACGGCTGCTGTCTAATTAAATCAACGTCAGCGGCATCGCTGGGGCTGCTGTGCTGCAGCCGCCCCGGTCCCCTGGGCCCCTACCATGATCTCCATGGAGCTCCAGCGCGAGGTCCCCCAGTACATGGCCATCCCCTGGTTGATGACATGGGTCATGGCTCGCACTGTCTCTGCCGGGAGGGAAGGAGAGAGTGGCAGATGGGGTTTAGCAGGGGCTGCACTGGCAGAATGGGGCTTGCACCGCGTTGATGGATGGTGAGCATCCCACTGCCCAATGCTGCGGTGGGAACTGGGTGGTGTCCAGGGGATGCTTTCAGAAAAGCAGGATGGGGACAGAGGGAGCAGCAGCCACTCAGGATGTGCCAGGGACCACAGCCGACCTGACATGCTCACATGGTGCCAGGCTCTCCCTGCATGGAGAGCAGCCTGAGGCTTCTGCCAGCGGTCCCATGCCCTGTGGGGTTACCAGCACTGGCACTGCTGCAGGGGGAGGGACTGATGCATCACCCACACACAGAGACCCACGGAGGGAAGCCTGAACCCTGTGTGAGCCACTCAGGGGTCTTGGGGGGAGCCAGCCCTGAGCCATGCGGGCTGGGGCCAAGCCAAGGCGTGCTCCTGCAGCCAAAGGCAGGCAGCAGGGAGGGCTAGGGGCACGAGGCTCGCCCAGCTGGCACCGGGGCACACACCCCAGCATGCTCATAGCTGCCCTGGCAGGGAGGGACCCTGCTGCAGACCCCGGCATGTGCCAACGGCACCCCACGGCAGGACCCTGGGGGTGGGAGCCTCTCTGCTTTTTGTCCTTTAAACTGCAGTACAGTCTGAAGGGCCAGGGGTGTGTCTGTGTTGTGCTGCCGCTGCCTCTGCATCTCATGGCGGGGTTTGCTTGAGAGGGTGGAACAAGGATGGGGGATCACAGAGGAGTGGGGGCTCTGTCCCAGGAAACACCGCTGGGACAGGCAGCGGCTGGCGGGCAGAGTGCGGGCAGGGAGTACCTTCTACGATGAAAGTCCTGGACTTGGAGGAACTAAATGGGTCCCCTGGTGATAAAAGAGAGATTTAGAGAAAGTGGAGTCACCGCTGCTGGGACGGGGGCAGTGACCTGCCACCGCACCGCCAACCCGCCCCGCTGCAGCCCGAGAGGGTCCTGGCACTGGGCAGGGGTGGCAGAAGTGTGGCACGAGTGGTGGCGGAGGAGCGGATTCTGCTCAGGAGGGAAAATGCCCTTGAAACACAAGCCTGGCGCAAACCAACCGCGACAGCAATGAAAGGCGGCGGGGAGGAGCACGGCACCATTGCGCACACTCACCTTCCATCGGCGTGTTGGGGTCGGGCCGGTTAGCAAACACCACATCCACGTACTCCAGCTGCAGCCGCTCCAATGATGCCTTCAGACCTGCAGCATGGATGGGGCTGTCAGGTGAGCTGAGCCCCATGCTGCCAGCAGTGAGGCAGACGGTGAGGCACAGCCTGGCACCAGGGCCAGCAGCACCTGGCGAGTGCCCTCATCCCTCCCCCTACCTTCTATGATGTGTTTTCGGGACAGGCCCCTCTCTGTCTCGGCCCTGGAAAAGGAAAGGCGGGTGAGAGCCTGGGATGAGAGCCTGACCAGTGCCAGCTGTTCTGCTGGAGGGTTGGTGTTACCTACTTTCCTCCCCAGAAGATTTTGGTGGTGATGACCAGGCTGGACCGTCTGCAAGGAGAAAGAGAATCACTGGTGGTTGCACTTGTAAAGTCCCGTGCACCTTGCCTGGGATAGCACACTCCTGCCCAAGGCTTCTCCACCAGTTTTCCCCAGCCCATCGGGACTTTTGCCAAATAGGGGTGGCATCTGGCTTACCTCCACCCTTTCTTCTTGATGATGTTCCCCAGCACCACCTCAGCCCTACAAGGGAAGGGGATATCAGCCATTGGCACCTGCGGCCATGAGGAGTGGTGGCAGTCAGCAGGGACAGCCCCAGACCCCAAGAGAATAAGAGGCAACTGCAGTTGGCTGTGGGGATGCTGCCCCTTGCTGTGGCGCCCAGAGCTAAACTGCCCCCAGTGCATGAGCTTGCTAATTTCAACTGAAAGCATGGGCACACGCCAATGCCCCTGGGCCAGCATGCCCTGGGTACAGCTGTGCTGGGAGGGTGCATGGCTGCACCTGCATGATACAGGCCACCACGCAAAGCCACCAGTACCACAACTCCCCCTGTGAGCAAGAGCTCAGAGCCCTGTCCTGGAAGCTGCTTTGCAGCTGGCAAACCTGGGAGACTCCCAGTGCCACTGTGATTTGGTGGGAGTCAGGGTGTAGGGTGAGACCTCTTTGGCACTGCCAAAGCAGGGTACCTACTTGCCAGCAGCATAGACTTCTGCCGTGTCGAAGAGATTAATGCCGTTGTCATAAGCTAAAGTCATCAGCTGCTCCGCCATCTGCGAGGAGAGAGCGGGGTCGGCCGAGAGCCGGTGCACGGGCGCGTGCGCAGAGTGCTGGTGAGCTCCGGCATGCCTCATGCGCCCAGGCCACAGCCGCAGCTGTGCTTACCCCATCCCTGCCCCACTCACCAAGGAAAGACTGGGGAGGGTTGGGGTGGAGGGGTGCAGCCTTACCTCATCTGTGATCTGCCCTCCGAAAGTCACCCATGTTCCTGCAGGAGAGAGAGAGGTGTGTGCATGGTGAATGTGGTGAACAACGAGCGCCGCCACCTCAAGCCCCTGGCCACCCACCCTGGCTCCCTCAGCACAGCCGTGGCACGTGGTGGCCACAGCTGGCCCTGCCGCGTGCACTGTGGTGCTCCCAGCATGGCCCAGTCGCTTCCTATCGTGTCAGAAAAAGAGAAAATAATTTGACAATTTCTGGGCCATGACTCAAAACAGCCGCAGGGCTGAGGAAAACCCTTTCCTTCCCTTTGCAAACATTGCCGGGGCAAGCGAGTGCTGCCCTGGCCCGGGAGTGCCGGCAGCTGCTGCGGAACTGAGGGGATGCCGAGGGGCTGTGGCAAACCCTGGCACTTACCCAGACCCAAGCAGGACACACGTAGCCCAGACTTCCCGAGGTTCCTGGAAGACAGAGACCATTAGGAAAGGTGCCAGAAAGCCCCAAAATGCTGTCTCATGCATCCTGCATGCCACCAAACACACTGGGTGCGAGGACTGGGAGGTGTGGTGGTGGCCCCTGGTCCCCATCGCCACCTGGGATGGTTCCAGGGACTGGGGAGTCCCTTCTCAACTGATTAACCAGGCTGGGCATCCCAGAGCTCAGTAATGGCACTGCCTGCACCTGCGCAGCGATGCCATGCCTGGCAGGGTTATAGGGAGAGCAGTGACCTCGTTAAAGCTGCTTCCTGTGATGAGGCTGGGGTGTCTGGCTGCCCCGAGAGTGCCGCTGGCACTGGGGAATGAGACTGGAGGAAGAGGAGCCGGCATGCTCATGGTCAGGACTGAAGCATCGCATACATGGCATGAGTTGTGCCTGTTCTCTGCATCGCACAGGGAAGCACAGGGCTCGCACCAGGCGAGGGTGCTCGGGAGTAGAGCAACATCCTGGAGAAATGGAGCACCCCAGAAAATCTGACCGGCACAAGGAACTGGAGAACAGCTTTCGGGAAGGGGGCCAGGCTGGCAGACGCCTTCGCCGTGGTGATGGAGAGCCAGTTACTTGTTAAAAATGACAAAGGCTCAAGAAATGAGCGTTAAAATAAATAAAGTGTAGGTGAGCCGCGGCAGCTCGCCCGCGCGGGTGTCGCATAGCAACCGGAGGCACCGCCACCGCCGGCACCGCCGACACGGGCACCGGCAGCCGGGCAGGGAGTGGCTGTGGCCCGGCCATGGGCAACCGTGGGCTGCACTGAGTCAGGGCAGCATCCCCCTGTGCTGCCAGTTATTGCCCAGCATCTGGAGGCAATGGCGCTCCCCCTGTCCTGCGGTGTTTTTAGAGCTTTTTGTGGCAGGGAGAGGTCATGGCCATGGGCCAGTGGTGGTTCAAGCCCCCGTGAAGGTGGGTTGCCATGTGGAGTAGAGAGCACCTGCCTCATCCTGGACATTCCAAGAGCTTTGCTGGGGTTCCCCTGGGCAGGTGGCCATCGCTGCTCTCGGCATTACAGCCCAAAAGTGCGTTGACAGGCTGCCCAATAGAGATACTGGCAGACCTTGCGAAGGCCAAGCACTCCCCCACACTATGCTGTGGCCTTCCTATCCCATCCACTTGCTTGGAGAATCCCCCTGTGCCACTGTCCCTCCAGCAGTCACCAGTGGAGACTCCCGAGCTGATCACCCATTGCCTGGGAGAGGCTGTTGCTGGTATGCTCCTCCTCTGGATGAGGGCATGACTGTGGGGCAGGAGCACTGAGCCCTGAGGATGCCACCGCACATTGTCCCAGTACTGCTGTTACCACTGCAAGGGTTTGGTGTTTGAGAGCTGGACAGAACAGGACCAGCCCCCTCCCCAGTGCCCAGGTAAGGGGACTTGGCTGATTTGGATGACACTGGTGGGTGACAGCCAAGCTCACCCCAGCGCTCTGCTGGCCTGACACACTTTGTTGCCTAATGCTGGCACATCTGGGCTGCAGCGGAGGCACGCGGCCGCTGGCAGCTGGACCATGGCGTGCAGGCTCATCTTGGGGGGGGGGCTCTACCCTGTCCTGGGGTCCATGCTCATCCGGGGGAAGCCCCAGCCCCACACCTGGGTGCACACTCAGCCTCAATGTGGGAAGCCCTCAGTGCTCTGCCCAAAGCCAGGACATGGGGTGTGTGAGCCCTGTGGGTGCTGGCCAGGGGAGCCCCACATACACACACTACCCCGTTTCCAGAACCACCATGGGCAGCCAGAGCCGCTTATGGCTCTGCACTGGCTTCCCAGGGCACTGAGTCTCCAGCAGCACCGAAAGGATGCCATGGCAGCCCGGATTAACGCTACCGTGACTCCCAGACCCCCCCGGCTCGGCAGCCAGCCCGGCTTGGCAGACACTGAGGATGCTACTAATCCTACCCTTAATTTTAGGGTCCCTTCTCTCCCCCATCCTGAAAATTTTACGCGCGGCTGGATCAAAGCTGCCCTAAGGGGACAGGAGCAAACAGCGAGGAAGCGCACGGAGGCGCACGGTCAGCACTTTTAGCGACGAGAAACCGACAGAGCTGGACGCAAACCGGAGATCAGGGGAGTGCGGTGCCCCTGGCTCCCAGTCCCCCCTCGCCACCCCGATCACAGTGAGGAACAGGGAAAGCCCCAGGAGTGCCCGTTTCCTACCGGTATTTCATCCCCGGCTGCTTGACGCTGGAGTCACTGGAGGAGGGGGCGTTCTGCACCGAGAGCTGCCCCAGGCTGCGGGCCACCATGGCCACCGCGCGGAACTTGCCGCGGGTGCCGAGGCTGGGGCTGCCGGCATTCTGTCGGTTCAGCCGGTCCTCCGCGCTCCGGCTCTTGATGCTGTGCTCGGAGCACACAAAGGAGACCTGCATGCTGCTCCGGCGGGCAGCAGCGCCAGCTGCCTAAATTTAGCCGGCGCCCCGGGCGAGGCGGGGAGCTCCTCCCGCGCGCCGCCAACGTGACGGCGGGGGGCTGCGAGGCGGCGGGCGCGGAGCGCTCCCGTCAGCCCTCCTGCCCTCAATATTTGATGAGCTCAGGAAGAGAGCGAACGAGCGGCACGCGGGCAGGTGGGAGGGGCACAGCCGCTGCCGGTCCCCTCCGGAGTGGCCGTGGCGGGGCAGGACTCCCCTGCGCCCCGCTGGCCATCCTCCCGCGGGTACGGCTGCTGGCCCAGCCGCGGTTTAGGGCGCGGCGAGGGCTGAGGCTGCGGAGTGAAGAGGTCTTTCCTTGCCTCCCTCCGGCCATGCACAGTAAAGATTTCCCTACACGGGTCCGAAACCAAACCCTCTGGCAGCAACGCGTGTGCACCGCCAACCCCACGGCGGGGCGGCAGCGCAGGTGGCGGCGATGCCGATGGCTCCGCGGCAGAGCCCAGCTGTTGGCCGAAGTTGTCGCCCTCGGGGCCACAGCACCAGCAGCACATTCCCCCTATTTTTCCCAGTGCAAGCGAAGTCGAGTGAGGTGAATCCCAGCCTAGCACCTCCTGCCGAAGCAGGGACACAAGTCAGCACACTACAGCACCGTCCTGCTGCCAGCAGCACCTGCCGTGCCCCTCAGGATGGAGCAAAATGCAGCGACGGGGCTTGCAGGAAATTATGCACATTTGCCCCAAACCTAATGAAAAATCTTGTAATCTTCTCCGCTTCCCTCTCTCACAAAGCTCCTTAGCTGGTAATCCTACCAGCACCAGCGCCAGCTCCAGTGCGGGGGGGACCTGGCAGCAGTTGTCAGCCCCCAGAGGATGAGAAACCCCACAAATTTTGGTGGCAGCAGGGACATGCCCAAAGAAGGAGCACCTTTGGGGTGTCTGTGCCAGCTGCTCCCATCAATAAATAATGTCTCCATGAATATTAGATGGGCTCTTGCCACTGTGTAAATGTTATCGCGGTCATTGTGAGCGGAGGGGAACCTGGCCCGCGGCGCGGCATGGCACAGTGCAGCATGGCAGGAGCCGGCAGAGCTGCCAGCTCCTGGGGGCTTCGCTGCAGCAGGGGACAAGGGCCACCCCCTGTCACCGGAGAACAGGCACTGTCCTCAGCCCTGGTGTCCCCCAAAGCCTGAGCTGGGTTGCTGGGGGTGCTGGGCCCTGCACCTCATTGCCCCACCCGCAATGCTAGGGGAGAGTGGGGAGGGGTGTGTTGGGCAGAGCAGCCCTATCCCTCTGAGGGGCTGTGGCCACCACTCCAGCTTCCTGGAGTGTCCTCCTGACAAGGACATCGGCTGAAATCCTGATACACCTTTCACCAGGACCCACATGCAAAATTAATGAGGCAGCCGCTCTGTGATGCACACCCATCAGGCGGAGATGTACCTCTGTTAGACGGAGATTTACACCCATTAGGTGGAGATGAACCCCTGTCAGGCAAAGATGTACCCCCCCAGTCATGCAGAGATGTACCCACATCAGATGGAGATTTACACCTCTGAGGCAGAAACAAGAGCCTCTTTGGCGGCTGTTTGCTCCAGGTGCCTAATCTTTAAAGCTCAGAGGATGTTTGCATCTGCAAATGCCCAAAGAGCAAACAGGAATGTCAAGTGAGAAGCTCAAAGATCACCAAGTAGGAAAGTGCTAACGGCGCTGATCGGCTGCCGCCTCCCCGGCGCATGCCGTGCCAAGGGCATCGGCTCCTCCCAGCCTTGGCACGGCACAGGGGAGCCGAGGTGAGCTTAGGTGAGAGCCGTTCTCCTGACGAGGTGTCAAATCAGAACCAAGCAGCGTCCCTTGTGTCATCCCCTCACCTCGGCCCTCACCGCCCTCGAGGTGCTGCCTTACCTGTACTTCATGCCAGTGGCGTGGGCGGTACTGTCGGCCAGGGAGAGCCCGTGCATCCGCAGGAACTCCTCCAGAGTCTTCACCTGCGCCGCCGCCCGCACGTCCCGCAGCCGCCGCAGCTCCAGCCCGTCGGCCGCCCGGGGGGCTGGGGGCAGCCCCCACTCGGGGCTGGGCCGGCTGACCACGCTGCGCAGGCTCTCACTGTAGGTCATGGAGAGCATCCTGCCACCCGAGCGCGGGCTCTGCAGGCCAGCCACGCCACCAAACACTCTGTGGTGCTACGGAGAGAGCTGGGAAAGCACAACGTGGGCTCCCTTGCCACTCAGGGCACAGCCCTGCCCGCATTGCCACGCCGGAGTGGTGGGACCCACCCTTGCCAGGACAAAGCCGGTCTCTTCAGCAGAGCAAAGCTTGGTGTGGGAGCTGAAGCACAACAGGAGAAGCAGCAGGACACGGATGTGGCACAGTCCGTGTCTGAGGCTGCGGTGGTGCCTGCCACAGCTGCCCCAAGCCACGATGCAGCAGTGTGGCCCGTGGCCCGGCTGTGCTGGCTCCCAGCTTGCACTGTCTGGGCTGCACCGGTTTGCATCCCTGCAAGGGACGCAGTGGGCCCCAGGAACTGGCCGAGGCATGGTGAGCAGCTGGTGAGAATCTGGCACTGTGCGCCAGTGGGCAAGGAAAATCGGGATGGAAAAGGGATCCCCGTGGGGCTCCCTGGAAAGGGTGGACATGGGCAGAGGGTCTGTGGGCACTGGGTGCTCACTGTGCCTGCGTCACGCTGCCGCAATGTGCGCCACCAGCCAACACCTTCCCCACCACCGCGGCAGCGACCTCCCAGCCGGTGCGACTGCCGAAAATAGCCTGCCGCAGGGTGGGCTCCTCGCACACCCGAGTCCTTGCTGTCTCTATGGCTGGGACCTCACTGGCGGTGGCACCAGCATCGATTTCTGTGCCTCTCTCTGCAAATTCCCTTGTTTTTTTTCAGTGTCTGCAGGGAGCAGGGACTGGGGCCAAAACTGTGGCATTGGTGCCAGAGTGGCCACTGGGGATGCACTGTGACAGATCTGCACCAGCATCAGGCTCCAGCCAGGCGCCCACTGGTGGTTTTTTCTTTCCCTGTGAAGCTCAAATTGACAGTTGCAGGAGCCAAAAGTGAAGTGCTCTCTGCCACTGAGGTGTGACCACCAGAGGAAAGGAGAAGGAAACACAGAGGATATGGAGTAGCAGCTGGCCAAGTATGACCAAAATCCTGGGGGTCTCCTTTGGCATCCGGTGCTGTCAGAGACCACTCTGTGCTCCTCCTGCTTTGTAGGGGGGCTTGGGCCTGGAAAGCCAGGAGACATGGAAAGGAAATCTTTCCCTCTGTTGTGGCAAAGCTAAACAGAATCCTGGTCATTAGCCTCTTCTTGCCACACCTCAAAGCTGAAGACTGGACCCTGCACCTCCAGCACCAGCCCTTCTCCGTAGCTGGTAGCTTTAATTAGGGCAGTGCTGGCGGCTCCTGCTGGGTATGGGCATCTCCTTATTCCCAGTGGGATCTCCTTGCCCTGGTAGGATCCTCTCACCTGACAGCAGCAAGAAGAAACCTGAGCAGGCTGCACCACTGCTCTACAGCAGCAAAACGGTTGCAGCAAGCAGAGCTAGGGGTTTGATCTGTGCTGCTCTGAGGAACGGGGTGGGAATCCACCGGCTGCCCTATCTTGACACTTCCCTGATTTTTGGCAGAACAGAACTGGACGGCCGAGAGAGTGCAGAGGTGGTGGGTGCCTTCATGGCCATTTGATAGCAGAAATCCCAGTGCTCCTGGGATGAGAGGCAGCAGGGCTGCAGGATCTGCCAAGGATAAGCTGTGCCATGCCCAAGCGGGAGAGGCTGTTTTGCGAGGAAGGAGCAGGGATGGGGGACAGAGCGCAGGCTCTGTGGGATAACGGCACTGTTAGCAGCGTCAACAAGTGGGCGACAGGCGGGGCAGCTGCCCGGAGAGATGTCTGGCCAGCCTGGCTTGCCAAGCTGGGAAATTGGCAGCCACCAGCCTGCCTAAAGCCAGGAAAGACCCCAAACTCCGATAGAAAACCACCCTAAGCCATCAAATCCCAAGTCACCCTGCACGGAAAATCTTCCCTGCTGCCCGCAGCAGCTACCCCATGATCGTGCCCGTCCCCGCTCATCGCCCACCGTGCCCAGCCCCGCTCCCCGCCCGCGCTGCCGGCTCCGACTCACCGCGCCGGGGAAGCTGCTCAGCAGCAGCGCAGCTCTGGGCGGCCGGGCTGCCCCGGGGCAGATATACGAGCCGCGGTCGCCGCGTTGTTTTGCATTAGGGGAGTGTCGGAGCTTGGCGTCCAAAGCACTTGGCGGCTGCGCCGGGCCCCCAGCGCCCGGCTTCTCGCCGCGCTCCATTAGCCCTATTAGGGGATTTTCTTCCTTGCGAAGGGGAGTTAAATTATTCATGGCGCTTCACTAAAAGCCCGAGGATGTGCCGCTGCTTTATCAATGCTGGCACCGCCGCCCCTCGCCCTGCGGTGACAGGTCCCCCTGTCACCAGCACACAGGGCAGTGGGGACAGCTCCACACTGGGGTCATCAGGGAGCTGAGACGGTTCCCTGCAGCAGGCACAGCCCTCCTGTGGTCCCCGCGGCAATGGAGTCGGAGCTGGGCTGAGACAGGACTGAAAGGCAGCCTCCGCCAGGAGGGAGCCCCGAAACAGAACTGAGTGATGAACACAGGTGGCTGCTGCCTGAAGGCAGCCTACAGACAAGCTCCTGCCTGCTGGCCTTGGGAGCCTTTTGCACCAGATGTGTCCAGTGGTTTAGGCCAGTTTGGCAGCAAAAACTTGCCCGTAGCCGGGGCTCGGCAGTGCTGGTGGCAGCACTAGGATGGACGCTGTCAGTGCCACTGAGCCATCTCATTGCTGGCTGGTCTCACCTCCTCCTGTCAAGTGTGGGATGGAGTGGGGAGGGGACACGGTTCCGTCAAGGGGCAGCCCCTGGTCCCCCACCCCACAGCAGCCAGGCCAGACCCAGTCCCACACCACTGGGCTGTTGTGGCCCTGGGAGCACTGGAGCAGCTGCTGGCAGAGTGTGTGAGGAAGCACCGCCCTCGCTTCAGACGGTAAAAGGGTGATGGGGGCGATTGTTGCCTCCTGTACCACTTAATGAGACTGCTTCTAATAGCAGGAGCTGTGGAGCAGCTGGCTGGTTTCCCAGAGCTGCTCTTGGGAAAAGCCAGGGACTTCTCCAGGCATAGCACTGGCATGGGACGCTCCCCCCAAACTGAGCACAGCCCCACACCCCACAGTGGCTGCCCCCCACACCCATGTGGCCACACTCTGCCACTTGGACAGCCCATGAGGATGGTCTCCCCCACCCAGCCACACCTCAGGGTCCCCACATCGCACTCCCGAACCCACGAGCAGGTGATGAGATGCCACACCTGTGATGCCCATCCCACCCAGAGAGACCCTGGCACACTGGGCAGGGCACTCTGTGCTGGCATTATCTGGGTATGGCAGGGGCCATAGCCACTTGCTGGGGGGATTTTGGGGTGGGGGAAGGGCCTGGTTACCTGTAGAACTGGAGCTGGCGCTTGGGGCTCCCGTATCTTGCACTTCCGACAGCAAAGGGGAGAGAGAAGAAAGATGCTACAAACCCCATTAGAAAGGAGGAGTGGGGGTAAGTGGCAGGGTCAGTGGCTGTGGGAAGGGTCAGTGGCACCCACCCATGTCACATCACAGTGGACAGTGCAGCAGGCACTGGCACGACCCTGAAAGTGCCCCCTATGCCCATAACAGGCACCAGTGCCCAAAAAGCTGCTATTGCCGCTGCTATGTGGGGATTTTGTGCCAGAAGTTTTTGCATGAAGCATGCTGGGGCAGATTAGGAGTATCAGGGCAGTTTCAGGGAGTGTGGTGGTTCTGGGTTGCCACAGGCTTGGGTTTGAATCCCCACAGAGTCGCCCCAGCACAGCTCTACACCCTTACCTGTAAATCATCCCTGGGGAGCCCGTCTGCCGCAGCGAGAGTCGCGCTGGGGAGTCAGTGGTGGATTCGGGATACATGGAGCCAGCCTGGGCTCCCCGGAGCCACTCGCCGCCTCACCCCTGCCACAGGGGAAGAGGAAAAGAGGAAGAAGTGAGGTTTTTTTGGGGCACGCGCATGACAGCGCTTCCTGTTGCAGGAGATCTCGAACTGAACGGGCATGTGGCATTGGCAGAGACATGGGCACGGCAGCTCTGCCAGCCTCAGACCCTGGGGCTCATACCCTGACCCACTGATCCCAAAGCCACCTTGCCTCAGGCCTGTCCCTCTGACTTCCCAGCTTGGTTGCTCTCTCCAAACTTGGGGTTCCTGAGATCTCAGGAAATGGTGAGGAAATATGGGTCTGAAAAGTGAAACATTCTGAAAACCCTGAAGCCATCCCTGAGGGTCCCTCTGAAAAGGACAAGCTAAGGGGAGGAAAACAGTCTGGCTTTTCCTGCAGCCCACATGTGACTGTGTGCACAGGGGTGAGTGAGCTCTAAGGGAAAGGAGGGCTCACCCCCAGGCACCCCTGACCCTCCTTGTCCCTGTCCCCATGCCAGGGGCATCCAGCATGACTCCCTGGGAGCTGTGCTCCTGCTCCTGCGACACTGTCAGCAGTTTCCAGTATCACAGAAAACAATGACACTTCCCTACAGAACTGGGGCTGGGATTTAAATTTATCTCATCTTTCTTTAGGCCAGTGAGATGCCATCTTTACACTGCAGATCACAAGCTGCTGTTTCCCACATGGGGACTGAGAGATCTGTGGGCTCACTCGCAGCTGCCCTGAGCTCAGCAGGAGCATGGCTTTACAAAGTGTGCTCATGTCCTGGCACGCATCCCGCCTGCATCCTGGCACAGCATGCCTGCATCCTGCATCCCTCCCGCATTCTGGCACAGCATGCCTGCATCCTGGCATGGTGTGCCTGCATATTGCATCCTGCCTGCATCCCAGCAGGACATACTTGCATCCTGCATCCACATCCTGCATCCCTCTTGCATCTCAGCACAGTGTGCCAGCATCCTGCATCCCTCCCGCATCCTGCATCCCTCCGGCATCCCGGCCCGGCGTGCCTGAATCCCGGCGCAGCCCCTGCAGCCCACGCAGCCCAATGGCAGCAGCTGCGGCAGCCGATCCCATCCCCGCGGAGCCGCCCACCGCAGCTCCCGGCCGGGCTGCAGCCCCCGGCACAGATCCCCATTGCCCTCCTCCCGAGCGCTGCAGGAGTGCATCTCCCTTAGCCACAGCCGCGCTGGAGCCGGAGCCCAGGCAGCCTCAGTAAAGCCGGGTTTATCTTAGAGAAGTCAGGAGGGAGCTGCTCTCTCCCGAATCCGCAGAGCTGACCTGAGCCCAGAGCAGGACCCTGCCGAGCCCTACAACCAGGACCCAGCTGAGCCCCCCAAGCCCTTGTGACCCCCCGGCTTCTCCTGGCTGCTGCGAGTGTTGGCTCCGCAGCTCCCGTGGCCTCGCCTGGCAGTGGGCAGCTGCCTGCAGCAGTGCTGGGTCAGCAGCCACCACTGGCCGGGCACTATTCTACCTGCTCATGCCAGCTGCGCCAAACTTCGTTAGCCTCGGCAAAACAAAGCTAAGGGAAGCAGGGAAGCTGGGGGATGCCTGCAGGGGGGATAGCCGGACCCCGTGTCCCAGTGCAGCCATGCAGCTCCTTGCTTGCACTGCCACAACCCCGGACTCCTGCATGGCTCAGGACTGGCCGATTCAATATCCCAGGGGGCTGCGGTGCCAGGAACTTAGATCTCTGCAATTTTCAGCAGAACCTGATGCCTCTTCCCTGCTGCCTCTCAGCAATGCTGTGGGGACCAAGTGCAGTGGCTGGCAGGTCTCTGGCAGTGCTAGAGGGACTTTGCTGGCAAGCATAGCTGGACCACGGGCACACGGGTCAGGGCTCTACACCCTGAAGAGCCAAAGTGTGAAATGGCCTTTGGGCCAATTAATCCCTCTGAGCTCTCTGAGCCAAAGGCACTACCAAAAATCCAATGCCCTCTGTGTCAGCAGCTTGGTGCTTCCCTGAGACTGCTCCTGCACCTTCAGCTTCCTCATGGCACAACTCAGCTGTGAGTTTGCAACTGCAGGAGTTTTGGCAGTGGCCTGAGAGGGAAGAAAAGTGTTTTCTGCAGGATGCACCCAGGAGCCAGGTGAAGGAAACAGTCATGATTTGTGCTCCCACCAAGGTCCATTCCCATCCCTGGTAGCACAGTGTGGTACAGGAGTGTGGGTGCTGTGACATGCAGGGAAGCCCCTGGGAGCTGGGCCAGAATGGAGAGGACTACATACTGCAGCCTGCCAGAGTAGGAGTGGGTGAAACTGGACATGGAATTAATGTGAATGTAGGGACATTGCTGCTTCTAGTGAGCCTGATCCTCCAAGGATGAAGCCCTGGGGCAGGGAGAACTGGGGGACACTTGCCCTGGGCACCCCAGCGTCCTGCCCAAGTCAGGTGAGGGATGCAGGTAATGTCGCAGGGAGCAGGTGCCTGTCACCCTTATTTCTCCCCTTTTTCCACTGTGTTTGCAGCAAATGCCCCCCTCCACGCCACGGGGAAGGTGACTTTATCTCAATGACTCACGCTGCCCTGCTCTGTCGCCTCGGCACCTCCTGCCACCTCCTGCCGTCACCTCTGCGCTCATGCCCCGTGCTGGTCCCGTGCCCCCCCCC